AGAGGAACTGGTCTCGGCTGTTAGGTTCACGGCCTGAACTACAAGGCCGTCGAGTGATGGTGTTGGTGGTGGATTTTGGGCGGTGCTCTGGCGCGTTGCTCAGGGAGCGACGATCGTGTGATATACGGGGTGAGTGAGCGAACAACAAGGATGGTGCTTCGGTGCCTTGAAAATCAAGGGTCGTATGATATATTGATGAATGGATTCTGCTTACAACCTAACACTACTCCTAGGAAAGCAAGTAAAGATATTGAAAGTGCATTACAGAAGAAAATAAGTTGCTCCGTGGGAGGCTTGTTTTGGTGTTTGAACCCTTTGAATGTAGCTCGAGTCTTGTATTTATAGGAAGAGTCCCTAGATGAGTAATCGTGGCTGAAATTACGCATAGTGGAGTCTGATTAGCGTGAACCTCTGGCCGTGGAGACGCATTTATTGCCTGGATAGCTGGTGAACCAACATTTCAAGCTGTCAGAATCCTTGTGAGAATGTCCGCGTCTAATCACTCTGATCTTCATCACCAAATCCTGCTTCAGTCACTTCCCACCTTCCCTCATGCATTAAATGCTTCTTTGTGGCCAGTGGGTTTGCTGCATTAAACAGGCACTACTTCATTAAATGCAGCCTGGGACCCTGCTGTCACGTGATGATTTGCCTTTAATGCCTTGGCCGCAAATTTGTTCGGCCTCGGCCTCGGCCTATGCTTGAGGCCGAGATGATCATGCCTTAGCATTTCCTTCTTTTATTTTTAAGAAGGAGAAATACCCTGGCGAAACGCCGCGTTTCAGCCTCTGCAAACAAATGCCAGGGCCGAGAGAAAGGGCTCCTTCGGCCAGCTCATGGCCGAGATTTATCAGGCACAAACATTGCCCCCACATCCCTGGATTCTTCGGCCTCGGCATGGGTAGGGGCCGAATGGATTCCAAGGGATGGACCCTTTGCATTCCTTTCTGAAGTGATTGACAACTGGGGCCTTATATGCGCAGGCCAGTCGGTGCATTCCGCGCATTTAATGCCTCAAGCACGTCGCGCAGGCCATCATTGCTCAGGGCGTCGCGTCGCCTCGTCAAATGAAACGACGATCACTGTCATAACTTCACGTGCTCTGAGTGCGCTGTCAGGCCGTTTCATCTTTCGAGACCAAACCTCCATTTTGAGCTCCAGTGCCAATATAAAAACCCAAACTCCTTCGTATTTTCCTTCACACTCCCAGGCTTCCTGAGTTCATTTTTTCTTTGAAGGTTCATACTGTCCTTCCCCAGTTTCTTCACCCTCGTTCCCCAAACTTAAAATTATTATCCAGCGAGCCTGTTTCTTGCTTCAATCGCTCTGGAACCCTTTTTTGACTCCTGGGCTTTGCCCTCCCTTATTACCAACTGTCCTAATGATCCTTATTGCAGCTCCCTCCAAACCAGGGAGCCAAACCTGCTGAGTCGCATGACTGGGCAATTTGGCCTGGTCCAGATGACTTGGCAGTTTGATGAGGGCGAGAAGATTTGGGATGATGACCTCGACGTGGCCGAATCTGTGCGGCCGAATACTCGGATCACACCCATGGCCGGAGCGACGGCCTTTATCAAGGCTGAAGTGATGGTTTCTACTATAACCGGAATGGCGACTGCTTACCACGGCTAGAATGGCAGTGGCCATCCGTGTCCGGAGTGACGGCCCATGCGCCTCCCATGGCCTGGAGTGAGGCCCTGGGTGTAGGCTGGCCGTGGATGATGACGACATAGGTAGCGAAGGTCCTGCCTCAGGGGAAACGTCTGATCGTTTTGCAGAAAGGACCGAGGAGCTGAGGCGCATAGATTTAGGGTGTGATTTTTCTTATGTGTTTGTACTCGGCCAGGACCTGGCCGTCTTTTTGTAAACACACCCCCTTTTCATCCTAAATGAATAAAATGAAGTATGATTTCTTTTAATTTGTCTTGGTTACTTTGTATACTCCACTTCGTCGTTTGCAAATCTCACAACCCTTCTGCGGCCGTCTCCCATAATGACGGGATATACCTCTTCAGATATTGGCCGTTGATCGGCAAGTTGTGTCGTTCCCCATCTCTATCTTTCAGCTGAAATGCACCTCGGCCAAGAATTCGCTCGATGATGAACGA